AAAATATGTACCCCTGGGGTACAAGGGTACGGGTGTGGGTGTGGGTGTGGGTGTGGGTGTGAGTGGGTGTGGGTGTGGGGTTGGGTGTGGGTGTGAAGGTGTGGTATTTTATTCTCTTTTGGTAATATCCACACTCCACATCCCACACCCACATCTAAAACTGCACCCACACCTTCAAGTGAATCGGCAATAAATATAATTGTGTGAAATATGTTCACGCATTATATTTTTTAATAATCTATTTAATAATGAAAAATAGTTTTGAAACTCTCTTGTCTATCGCAAGTCAGTTTTTAAAATCGACTAGAAGTACTTATGTAGAAACTTTCTGTAGCTGAATTTGATCAATCAAAAAGAACTGTCGATTAATAGGTTGATACTATGAAAAAAATTGGAACGACGAAAGTAACCTTTTCATGCCTGCAAGATGAAAAGACAAGTAAATTTGAAATTTTTTCTTAGTCTGTGATGTAATCCATATCCATTGACATGTAATGTTCATTTTATTGGTGGATAACATCCATTTATGTTCTCAACAAGAACAGAGGTTTGTCTGTATGTGCACGCACATCTGTTAAAATAGTTTTTATTCAAATCCTCTATTTTATTGCGAAGAAACTAACATGATTTATAGTTTTTTTTTACATCTTCAAGACTGTTTTTATACCATTGAAGATGAGGATGACTTGGCGATAACGAGCATTGTCCAATGTGTACAGCACGTTCAAAAAAATGAAGGGCTTTAGCGTATTCGCCCACGCTGTAATAAACATTGCCGATATGGCCATAGGTTACAGCCAGATCAGGATGATTCAAAGGAAGAATTTTTTTAAAGATTTCAAGCGCTTTTTGGTGGAATGAAAGTGCGTTCAAGTACTTGCCCATGTAGTAATGCACTATACCAATGTTGTTGTAGGACATACCCAGAATAGGATGATTTGGTGGAAGATCTCTTTGGAAGATTTCAAGTGATTTTTCGTAACATGAAAGCACTGTCGAGAATTCGCCCATGTTGTAATACACACTACCAATTTTGTTGTATGACTTAGCTAAATCAGGATGATTTGAAGGAAGAATTTTCTGCTTGATTTCAAGTGCCTTACCGTAATAGGAAAGTGCTTTCGAGTACTCGCCCATGTTGTAATACAGCAATCCAATGGTGTCGTAGGATTTAACCAAATCAGAATGATTTGAAGGAAGAGTTTTTTGCTTTGTTTCAAGTGCTTTATAATAATAAGAAAGTGCTTTCGAGTACTCTCCCATTTTGTTATATACGATGCCGATGCTGTGGTAGGAGTCAGCCAAATCAAAGTGATTTGGAGGAAGAGTTTTTCGGTAGATTTCGAGGGATCTTTCATAGAATAGAATTGCTTTTTTATATTCTCCTTTATTATCTTCGATCCCTCCAAGTTCTTTGTAAATAAATATTTTTTCTCTATCATCAGGTGTCTGCCTAAGCATAACTTCATAAACTAGCTGGGCTTTTTCGAACTGACCCATTTTGCATAGCAATTTACCCAATCGATCCCACCCTGTTGATCCTTGAGTCTCTTTACGAGTGCAATCAATAAGCACACACAGATCTTTATCGTTGTTATTGGTGAGAACCAAGTCCACCTGGAAAAATTGATCATTTTCACTTATTGGTTTAATTTCACATATGCGAAAAACTGTGTGCATCGAGAAGAGCACCTCCTCCTCTCTTTCCATGCAGCTGACACCATTAATTGAAGCAAACGGAGTAGTTAATTTAGAAGGATCAATCGTTATAACGAATAGAATACATACCAAATCGGAACTGCTCTGATTTCTTTTAGCGAAGATAAGAGAGACATCACGACTTTTGCTTGTGGATAAGAAATTATTAAAAGACATAAGTCCACCCTTGGTTTTCATCATCTGATCAAAATCTGTTTTGTGCATACCTTGTCCACGGTAGACCATGAAGCCTTTATTGATTTGGTGCTCATTAAACTGTTTCGAATGCAGTTGCTCGATGTGATGATGAAGATCAGCGATGAAGAAGCCCATTTTAATAATAATATCCAGATCCATTGTTCGAAGGGCACGATTTAGCATAGGGTATAAAAAACATTCATAAGTATACCACCAAATCGGTGTTTCATCTCGATATTTTCTTTCCAATTT